TGCGTGTGGAGAGTGGTCTCAGCATGGTGGTGGCTGGTTCTGGAGGTCTTCAGCTGCCGGAGCCCTGGTCGGGGCGGGGAGGGTGTGTTTATGTATTGTTCTTTTTTTGTCCCTTACCTCTGTCTTCACTCTGTTTTTTAATAAAGAACCTTGTAAAATTAAGCTGAGCTATTTAGAATTCAGGGTTTTTTATATGGCAGATTTCCATGAAGAACAAAATGTTGTAATTATCGATTGAATTGTGCAGTTAGAATGTGAATTAGGTTCATAACAAATAGGAATACTGTTTGATAAACTTGAAAACAAAACAAAGATAAAAAAAAAATTCACTTGCTATCCCCATGTTGGCCCCCTGTTTCAAATTAATTAGATTTTTGGATAACTATGCTAAACTTTGTCACATTCTTATTAAGATTGTTTAAGGGATTTTGAAGAACACTCAGAGGAATTTTAAAACTAATATGAATCTGGTTCTGGATACTCTATTGGCAGTCACAAAACTGATTAATCTTTTTCTCAGCTTATTGATTATTGCTGCAATTACTGTATATAATAGATCCTGCAAGGCACACCAGCAAAAAAAAAAAAAAGCATGTTGTATGTCACTGTGGCTTTTGCTCTCAATTTGAGTGCAGTATTTTCTACTCTTTACACAATGTCTAGTTTTGTATTTCTAAGCACTCATACACCTTGCAGGAAGTGCTGTGCATATTGCATTTCAATATTAGTAGGTTTAAAATTCAAAATAGAATTTTAGATTCCTTAATTACTACTACTATTGCAGTTTAAAAAGTGCCAACCCTCATTTTATTGCAGCAGTTTCATCTGGAGTCTCTCAGTAACCCTATGAGAGAATGGCGCTCTTCCCACTCATCCAGAGGAAGCCAAGTTTCAGTCAGGTTAAATAACTTCCTGAAGGCTGCACAAATTAGAAAGAAGGCTAATCAGGATGGGATCCTATTTCAAGCAACACATATTCACTGAGCACCTACTCAGGGCTGGAGCGATAGTACAGCGGGTAAGGCATTTGCCTTGCATGCAGCCGATCCAGTCGGCCCAGGTTCGATTTCTCCGCCCCTCTCCGAGAGCCCGGCAAGCTACCGAGAGTATCTCGTCTGTACAGCAAAGCCTGGCAAGCTACCCGTGACATATTCGATATGCCAACGCAGTAACAAGAAGTCTCACAATGGAGACGTTCATCGATTTGCTCGAGCGGGCCGATGAACAACGGGAGGACAGTGCTACCTACTCGGTGCAGGGCTTTGGTTAGGACTGAGCAGAGCCAAGCAGGAGTGTGGAAGCTCAAGGAGGGCTTGCTTGGCGACTCGTTGAGGCTGCATTTGTGGTTTTGTTTCCTTCCTATCAGAGTTTGCTTAGCTGTCCTGATACACACAGCCTGAGTGGCTATCTGTGTGATAGTTTTCTTGTTTTGTTTTCATCTCCTAGAACTCTGATATTTGTCTTCATGACTGACTTTATTATTTTCTGGATCAAATGTGGAAAGAATCCCTTTAGTAATTTTTTTTAAAAAAATGTATTTATTTCTTTATTTTGATTTTGATTTCAGCAGTGCTTAGGGCTTGCTTACTTCTGACTCTGCACTCAGGAATTATTCCTGCCAATGTTCAGGGGACCGTACCAGGTGCCTGCTTGGGATCAAAGCAGGGTCGGCTGCATGCAAAGCAAATGCCTTCCCCACTGTACTATTGATCCGACCCCATGGGAAGAAGCCCTCTCAAGGAGATTAGTTACAGAGGATCAAGATCTAAAAACTGCCTCCACAGCTCATGGACATTCTTCGCTATGTTTGCTTGTCCGGCTACCACCTGCCTTTCACATCTGACTCCCTGAGGGGCACTGAGCATTTCCTAGCCTTGTGCCAGCAGTTGGCCAGTGGTGTGGTCTCGGGTTTGAGTCCTCCCCTCTCCTCCAAGTGCCTTGCTTCTCATCCCGAGCAGCCAGAGCTTGCGGCCCATCAGCATAGTTTTAGACAAGAGGTGTCCCGCAAGGCCCCATTTTTTGTCCTTGTTCCTTCGGGAATGTGATGTGAATACAGGCCCCAAGTCACGGTGCTCCCTGTGGTAGAGATCTTGGCTCACACTGTGAGTTTCATGACCACCCTTTAGAGCTTGTCCCTGATGGTGCATCACTTGCCCATGTGGAACGGAGACTCCCTGATAAAGCAAATACTAATCTAAAAACTAGTATTTTAGCAAAAGAAAATGTTCCTTGGATTTAGAAGAATGGTACCAACCACATGCCACATCCCAGCGAGACCGACAAGTGGCAGCCTGATTCTCAGCAGTGGACTGCACTCAGCGTCATCCCAGGGACGTCTGTGACACAAATTTCTCACGATTCTAAAAGCGATTATAGTTTTTGCAGATCTGGAATGGAAGGGAAACCATATTTATTTATTTATTTTGTGAGGCAGATAAATAAAGTTGGAAAACAGGTCAATTTCATGCATGCAAGGTTTTATAGTAGGAAAAAAAAAATGCCTTGCTCCTGTTCTGACCCTTTACATTAGAGGTTATTTGTTTTCCAACTTGACCCCAAGCAGCAGTTTCAGACAACGTTATAATTAATCTGTTAGATAAAGCATGAGGATATTATATTTGTTTTGATTTCTAGGACTAATCTGGCAAACTAATTGGGAGAATTACTCACCTATTGTACATAGCAGTTAATTAAAGAAAAGCATTAACTATAGGCAAGCACCAGCAAGGCTGTTGTCTTGTATCAGTATAAAAAGGCAGTAATTTTTTTGACAGCCACTGATTGGAAAGTTGCTTGCAGCCTTCCAGAAGCAAGGGGGTACATGCTGTGGATCAATAACCGGCAAATTTCCCATTAAAAAGAATACCTGAGCAATGTTCCAAATAGCCACTGGCGTCTTAATTTTCCATGGAAACCTCCAGTACTTGTGTGCCGGGGACAAGTCATTTTCGGACAATTTTTCCAGACTACTTGTTAACAGTTATTGCTGTCCCAAAAGGTTGGCAGTCAACATGATTGATATTTCATTTACTTGTCATCACCGTTTGAGTAATGGCAAGTGCTGTATTTCTGTGACTGTAAGGAATAGTTGCCTGAAAGACACTGGCCTTCACAAGTGTTCCAGAGCACATGCCACCGTGTTTATGCATATAAGTTTTTACATCCTTATGTGAGAGGACAGTTTGAAAGTGCTTGGAGACATTGTACACTGGTAAGAGTCCACAGAAATTAAATGCTCACCTGGGATCAGAGTGGTAGTACAGTGGGGAGAGCACTTACCTTGCACATGGGACCCAGGGTTGATCCCTGGCATCCCTGAGCCTGCTAGGAATGATTCCTGAGCACAAGAGCAAGGAGTAAGCCCTGAGCATCACTGGGTATGGTCCAACAATCAAAAAAAAATACCACCCCCCCAGAACCCCCCCAAAACCCCACTCACTTTTCTTTGTATTCAGAGTAAAGAGTCTTAGACTAACATCTGATGCCCAAGAAGATACAGAAATTTATATCTCCCCTTTGATTTAAAAAAAAAAATCCGTCTTGTAGCAGTTGTGATATATATAAACATATACACACAGGTACACACACTCATTTTGTAGATGTCTTCTAAAAAAATTTAAGAATGTGGGGCTGGAATGATAGCACAGTGGGTAGGGCATTTGCCTTGCACGCAGCCAACTCGGGTTTGATTCCCAGCACCCCTGTGGCCACCCAAGTACCGCCAGGAGTAATTCCTGAGTGCAAAGCCAGGAGTAACCCCTATGCATCTCTGGGTGTGACCCCCCAAAGAAAGAAAGGAAGATAGAAAGAAAGGAAAGAAAGAAAGAAAGAAAAGAAAGAAAGAAAGAAAGAAAGAAAGAAAGAAAGAAAGAAAGAAAGAAAGAAAATAATGTCAGTAAGTAATTAACAAGAATTTCCCAAAAATGTAGTAGTGTTGAAGAGCTGGCGTGTGCTTTGTGGGGGGGCGCGGGGGGGAGGGGCCACAGCCAGCAATGCTCAGGGGTTACTGCACTCAGGAATCACTCCTAATGGTGCTTGGGGGACCATATGAGATGCTGGGGATCGAACCAGGCTTGGCCACCTGCAAGGCAAACATCCTCCTTGCTGTATTACTGCTCTTGCCCCTGTGTGTGCTTTTAATATAGAAGGATTCAAGGAGAGTTCTGCTCTCTTATCAGTAACCCCCAACAAAGTTGGCTCTTTTCTTTATTGATGTTTTTCATACTGTGTTATCACTTTGTTGTTTATCAAGTGATGAAAGAAGTGAGGGCACAGAAGCCCTCTCATTAGGTGGACGGAGACTTGCCAATGACCGTATTACGGAAAACTCAAACTGTGCCATAATGCAACATCCAAATGAATTCGTGTCTATGGAGTAGTGTAAAAGCTTTTTCACTCTTGGGGAGGATTTTGTGCTTAGAATATTAACTTGATCTAGACTTGTTTCTTACTGTAAAACACAAAAAAGTATGTTTTCTTGAAACTGGGCTCCTTTTTAAGAAACCATGCCAATAATGTTTGGGTGAATCATATTTTGTTTACTTATTCTACAGCCTCTGGTTAGATTTTCATTGTTTTGTGTCTTGTATACATACATGTGAATACATTTCTGATTAATTGACACGTTGGTCCAGGCTAAATGTGAGGGTCTTCATTTTGCTTTGCAATTTTTAGTGGTGGGGGAAATATATTTGAGAATTTTTGTTTTAAATACATAAAATTTTCAAAATATTTCTGCAGATTAATTCTAGCTAAAGCCTTGACACTTTTACTCTTAAAGATAAATGATAGTTGTGAAGAGAGGGTAATTAACTTTGTTCTGGACTTTCAGTCCTGAATATTCACTCAAGTCATTTTGATCGGCAAGTAGGGAAAAGTATTCTCAAGCCTGATATGCATGTTCCAGCAATTTACAAAAGCAGTATGAATTAAACAACCCATAGTGTCTGTTCCAGTATTCATACATTACTGAGTAACCTCTTTCTATAATCTCTCTGCAGTATTATTCCACAGTAATGGAACAGCAAGTAAATGGACAGTTAATAGAGCCTCTACAGATATTTCCAAGAGGTAATGTTGAACAAATTCTAATCAACAATGATTATTTCAGTAAGCTGTTTCATCAACAGTTATGTTTTCCAAAGGTTTAAATGCACATAACATGATGTTTAGCTTTTAATTTGAAAAAACAAAAGAAGTATTCATTATCGTGGGGATTGCAGGCTATATTATAGTTATGGCAGATAAAATATCTAATTTACTAGAGTAAATTAAACTAACTAGATTGGTTTTTGTGTGTGAAGTACGTACTTACATTGGCTTTAAAAACTCTTTGGGGTGTCCACATGTTTTCTAAACCAAGGCAAATAAATGACTTTAATTTTGGATATTTATAAATTGTGGCTCATGATATTAACCAATACTGCAATAGAAGAGAAAGCGTTTATCTTCTTACGAGGGGGTTTTATAGATAAATTTCAGTGAAATATTTGGTCTTATTTCTTCTTGGGGGTGGTGTTTTCTTTTTTTTTTATTAGGTAAAAATGAATATATTTTATAAAATTTTTTTTTTTACATTACTTTTTTTTACCACCATGAGGTACAGTTGTAGATTTACAAATTTTTATGCTTGGATCTCGGTCATACCACGATCAAATACGGGGGTGGTGTTTTCTAAACCATGAAAAATCCTTTTAAATGGGAATTGATTACGAAATTAAAAAAAATTTGAGCGAATGAGGATGAGTCTTGGTGAATCATCTGGTCACATAGTTCTCTTTTTCTCTCTTCTTTTGGCACAATGAACCTTGTACCAGAAATGATAGTATAAAATTGTTAATATAAAACTGTATAGTATAAAACTGTATAAAATTGTTCCTTCAAATTCTTAATAATAGTGAAATGATGGTTCAAGTATACAAACTGTTAAGCCCCTCTGTACATCACTCCACTTGGAACTCTTGTTTTATAACTGATGGAATAAGTAAAGAAATTCCCTAAACTCTTTTAGAAATAAATTCAAATAATTAAAAGTTAGACTTACCCTCATTAACTGATACTGTATAAATAATTATGGCATGAGTTTTCCAATTAAACATTCTAGACTTTCATTACTTGCAACTCTCTGAAGTCTGAATGGCTCAGCTAACCAGTAGACCCTTTGCACTGGTAGAGTCTACATAGATATTTGGCTTTGAAGCCCTCAAAGTGATCTGAGTTTAAGAGTTTTAGTAGTATTTATGTGAGTGATGGGATTGGGACTACTCAGTAGGTTATTAATAATAATTTGCTAAAGAGATGAATAAAGTCTAGCTATTGATAATGGGGCTGAGGCAAAAATTATGATAAACCCAAACCCATGGCAGCTGAAAAGCTAGAACTTAAACAGAAGAAGATAAATCAAAGAAGTGTTGGTATTTCTCTGTATTAGACCAACAACAAAGATACATATTATTATATTTTTGATAACCAGATCATTTGGGGAACTTTCAAAATTTATTTTCAGTTTTTACTCCACAAGAGTCCTTTTGTTTGTTTTTGTTTTTTGTAGCTGATAATGTCCATTAAGCTTCCCTATTTCATTACATGATAGGTCTGTTGTAGCAAACTTGATAAGTATCTTAGAAAATTCTGTTTAGAGTGTCTTGGTTCTTTATTTTTTTTTTAATTACTTCTCTTCAGCTAAAATTTTTTCAAGTTCTGCTTGTTTTATTTTGTGAGCATTTTTTCCTTCACTTTTATTTTGTTTTGGAGCCATACCTGGCAGTGCTCAGGACTTTCTCCTGACTTTGTGTTCAGAGGTCACTCCTGGTGGTGCTCAGGGCACCATATACGGTGCTGGGGACTGACTGAACCAGGGCTGGCCAGATGCAAGGCAAAAGTCTTCCCCCTGCAATTTCCCCAGCTCTGTGCACAGTTATTATCAGTCTCACTCCCCACAGCCCAGCACCCTTCTCTTAAAGATGTAACAGCCGTTTTCATAAATCTGCTGTTTAGACTCGTAATTTTGTGCTATTAAAAAATTTAATTTAAAAAAAAATTTAATTTTAAAAAAATTTTAAAAATTTTTAAAAAATTTTTGTAGTACAAAATAAAAAAAACCTCATTTTTAATTCTCCCTGTTAGGTAATTTGACGTTCCTACTTCCATTACATAGACAAGGATATCGAGGTTCAGGGAGATAGATGACTTTGTTGTCACACAACTTTCCAATAGCTGACTCTTGGGCTAAGAATTTTGTTTAAATGATGATTTTCTTTAAGAGGAAGGGCATATCATTGAAAATATTTAATTGAGTGGCAAATGCATGCAAATGGTTTGGAGGAACTCAGTAAGAGTGTCCGTTTACATGGGCAAGTATCTATTTTAGGGGCAAGATCCTGAGAGAAGAAACTATGAGGCACTATCCACAGTCTAGTTCCATACTCAGAAATTTTGAGCCTATAAATTATTAGATGATATTTAAATACCAAGCCAAATTTATTATTTTTTTTAATAGGAGACTCCAGCCGCCTTTCTCTGCAGCTTTTTTGTATGTTGTCCTATAAGGATTCAGTGCTTTGGTGCTTTTTGCCTGGTGCTCTCTTGTCTATAGACTGTGAGCCTGTGTCAGGACATTCTGGGTGTCTTACCTAAGTCTCACTTAGTGGCCCTCAGAACTTAGGTTGAGTCCACAGTCAGACCCAGTGTGAGGAAGAATCTCTACATTGAACCCATGAGAAAGGCAAGAGAGAACAAATGCTGCTCACAATTCAGAAGGGATCTTCATTCCAGCAAGCACAGTGGAATAGTCATCCCTGGCTCATAGCTATGTCTTCTCTCTTGTTAAATGGCGTTTTAAACGTTAATAAGTATGAAAATGTACCTAGTATTGCAGGGACTTCCGATTCCATAACTTCAGGAAATAGGAGGTTACTAGGTTCTGTGCTGCTTAGATTTCCAATCATAAATGTTTGAGAAGAAAATTGAGAACAAAGCAGATGTTAAGGTAAGAGTTGATGCCTAACTCAAACTCCTTAATTAGTTACTTTCTTATTAAATGAAGTTTATGAATGTACGGGGTAAGTTCAGTGGAAATTCTCCGAAGGATTCTCAGGAAGTATTAATAGTCCCTTAAGAGCCAGACATCAAATGTATGTGAGTTGTTTTGGTTAAAAAGTTAATTTCCATTTTAAGAGAAGATTTGGAGTCTTAATTTTAATGTGCTTAGAACACATAAAAATATCTGATTAAGGTTTAGCTGTATCAGCTAGGAAAATAACATAGTAAATTGCAATATACAAAGTTAAAGCAACTGATTGGCTTTGTGACATACTTGAAATATATCAAGTTAAAGCAACTGATATGCTTCGTAATGATTACCACGTCATCGCCTTATGAAACAGCTTTATTTCTGGTTGAAAATGGAAGAAAAATACATGTGCATGTGAGAGAAGGGGGGTGTGTGGAAATCAAATTCACCCTTTCCCAAACAATCAATCAAAATTGACAGCCCTTTAACATACAATATGTCGGGCATTGTAGTTTTCAGCCAAAAGAAGCCTATAGCATGAGCAAGAGGCTTTGCATTTTTAACATTTGATAAAGAAGCATTTGTTGGTTTGAAAAACTACTAACCTGTAACCCAGTGTTGTGTCAAAAAAATTAATAGTTTTTTGGGGGGGCACTGTGTATACTTGAATATTCACAGATGCCAGGATTGACAAGAGATGTAAACATTAGTAGCATTTTTGTTTAGTGAATTTGGAAAGGTCGTATTCAATGATCATCCCACCTTCAACTCTCCAGTGCCCTTCTCAGCATTAAAGTCTCCTTCTTCAACTCTCCCTAATCTCTAAATCCTACTTGTTTTCCAAGTAGTTTAAATGGGAGCTAAATATCAGGTGTAATAAAGGACGGAAAGAGAGAAGAAATTTGAATCATGAAAGAAGTCTGATAATTTTAGGTCAGTGAACTTGATTTTTATATGTTTTAAGCAGAAATTGGAATTTCTCAGAGGTGGTGGTATCAGAAAGCCCTCTGCCTTTATAAATGCTCACTCCTGCAAGTTAAAAACCCTGCTTCATAATTCCCACTTTGGGTCTTGGGAGCCACTTTTCAATCATTTCTCTCTGCTAATTTTGGTGTCACCCTCATTTCTTTTTAAACGATTCATTTTGAGCAAATTTGTAAATGGCCCTGATGTGTTCTACAATTTAGTCAATTACTGTTTCAGCCTGCAAGCCTCCTGGGGAACGGAACATACATGGCCTGAAGGTACGAATTTCAATAATTGTTTCAGTAAAGTTAGATGGATTTGTAATGCTGTGTTCCACTTATTGAAATGTCAAATAAAACTGCACTTTCTCAAGCTCTGACAAGCCATCCCCCACCCCTTTCTTTTCTTTTCTTTTTTTAAATGGGAGGTGGGGGGGGGGCATCTCCAGTGTTTGCCCACTCTGCGTGTTATTTGGCTAGTGGGGTATCGGTGCTGCGTTTTTTTATTGTTTGGAATTGTTTCTGCTAGCCCATTTCTGTAGGGTGATCCTGGGTACTGAGCTCCAAAAGATTTATTTGAGTGCAAATATAGACTTCATTTCATTGATTAATTAAGCACATAAGCATATTGCACACAGAGTACCCCCCCTCTTCTTTTGACATATTTATGCCAGGAACATATATCTATTTAATGTCTTTTCATTGTTCTGTGTGTTTTGAATTCTGGATATCTGCTTAAGGCGGAAAATTGGCAAGAAAAGCTTGCTATTGTGTTTGACTCAAGGATTTTATAATGAATTACTTGGATCTCGTTTTTCGGTGAGTAAGACACATTCTGTAGTGTTCTGCTTGGTTTTAGAACCAGAAAGAGACATCAACTCGGAGTTCACCGCTAGCCACCGGATGTTTTCTTAATGCACTTTGGAGAACATTTGTTTTTGTATCTGAAACGAAGCAAAAACCGTGGACTGAAATTTTCCCTCTAGCATTGAATTCAGTTCCCCACAGTGAACTGAAATTTTTCCTGTTCAGCCTCTCTTTTTCCAATACTACTTATACATATGAATAGTGACTGAAACACAGTATTATGTAACATACAGATTTTTTTTTTAATTTTAAATTTGTAACCTATATACCAGAAAGACTTCAAGCTTGGGTCTGTCTAGCAACCAGCTAATTAACCTTCATAGTGGAATGAGGAATTTGTGGCAAATTATAGGTTAATTAGAACTGTGTCCTCAGAACACAAAACTGATCAAGATTCTTTCTTGTAGGTGAATACCCGGGCCGGGCCCTCTCAGCACAGCAGCCCTGCAATCTCAGACTCTCTTCCCAGCAATAGGTGAGAATTAGCATGTGAAATGTGCCCACAGGCCTGGTTATCTCCGGAGTGGGGGGTGAACCCCATCTTTGTTCTGTTAGATGCTTTTAAAAAAACAAAAACCGCATGTGTGGATAAAAAGATGTCTAAGAAGTTTGATAACCCTACCTATATTTAGATTGACAAGAAAGGAAGGACCCTATAAAGATGAATTGAGACTCGCTCACCATTTATTTTGGTCTCCAGAATGGCTTTCCTTCCATCTCTAGGTTATATAGGAAATTCAGTGCCTTTGTGTGATGCTCAGTGATCTGGTGTGTAGAGTGTCTTAAGGTTCAGGTTTCCCTCAGCCCCCTTTGGCAGTGTCAGTGGATGCATTGACTTCTTTCCCAGAAAAAAAAAAAAAACACAAAAAACAAGGAAAGAGTAAAGTGATGAAATTTAAGTTAATTATGTGGCTTACTTTCAGGAGACTGACACTACTGTAGCAGGAAGATAATTTATATTAATCCTTGCTAATATTGTTCTTCATACTGGAATGGATTCTCAAGACTCGAGTTTTTTCAAACTCAAGTCTTCCTGACAGACCTGAGAACTTCCTTCCAGATTATTAAATTGCAGGAGTGATGTACTGAAGCTGATAGAATTCTAGGTCCTCTTGGTAACACATTCAGTTATTCAGCCAATAAATAGCAGAGCACTGTATGTCCAGATGATACTGCGAAAGTGGTTGCTCTCTGTGTGTCATAAGTCACGTTGAGGGCTACCGCCAAAAAACTCTTCCATTGTTTATCTGTTTTTTCTTGGATTTTTTATTGCAGCCAATATTTGCAATACAGCTCCCTATTGGCTGAAATGTGAGATTTTCTGCTTTGCCTCCAATCTAACCCCTTCTCTCCACTTAACCTAGGGTTTTGGTTCTTTTGCCTTGGTTCTTAGGCTCTGCTTAAGGTCATTTAAAGGCTCTCCTGACTCTTTCCTCGCCTGACCCCTCTCCACAAGTCAGTTTCCTGATTACTCTATTACAGTGTTGGTGTAACTGCCAACCAGCTTTCCTCCTACACACCAACCACACTTGGAGTGGAGTTCCTTCTTAAACAGTGTATTTTGTCTCAGAATACGGTGAGCGGGGTTGCCTTCCAGTAGATCATCTGTCTTGTGGCCTTCAAGGGGTGGATGTTTTAGTGCTTATCCGAGTTGTTGATCAGGCTGGAGATTCTTTTTGTAAAAATCTTTTAATGAATCACCGTGAGATACGGTAACAGACTTAGAAACTTTCATGGTTATCTTTCAGTCATATAATGATTGAGTACCCATCCCTCCACCAGTGCTCGTTCTCTACCAGGCAGGAGATTCTTTGAAGCTTTTTTTCTTGTGCTTGTGGGGTATCAGGGCCGAGCTGAGTGCAGACAGGGAGCCCACGGGTCACAGTCAGTTCCGAGGCATTTCATGTTTCCCACTAATTCCAGGAAAGATTTGGACAGCCTTGAGGATCATGAACCTTGTCCTGTTGTCTCATCAAAATTTTATCATAGTGTAAAAAGCAGGATGGAGTTGAAAAGGGCACTGATAGGGCAGAGGCAGGTCACCTGTGGTTCTCTGGGTCTCTAGGGTTTAGTTGTTTGTGGGGGTAGGATGGTGGTGGTGGTGAAAGGGGATTGTCTCAGGCCATGCTAAGGGGTTGACTTGGACCAGATGGTTCAGTGTGAGCATAGTAGGCCTGGGAGCTTCCAGGGTGTACTGATGGTGCTTGGTGGTGGTGGGCAGGAGGGAGGTGCCAGGATCAAACTTAGAGCCTCCAGCATAGTCTACACTGCAGCGTGCGCGGTCTACACTGCAGCATGCGTGGTCTACACACCAGTGTGCACGGTCTACACACCAGCATGCACGGCCTATGCTGTGGCATGTACGGTCCACACTCCAGCCTTTTGAGCAATCTCCCTGGCTCCTTCCTGGGTTGAGCTTTAACAACAGCAGTGAAATAGGCTTGATGATTGATGAAAGAAATGACCAGGTGCAGTCAAAAAGTCCTATAAAATCTGGTGGAAGGCAACTCAGAGATGGTCTGGTCTAGTCATGCACAGCCTTTTGCAGTGTCTTCCCTTAGGGGTACAGATGTCTCCCATTTGGTTAGTAATGTCGTTTGCTCTGGTAGTCATTTCTGTTTGGAGGCAGGCAACTCGAAGGTGATTTTGCTATGCCACCCGCAGGTGGCCATGCCTTTTGCCTCAGGTTGCTAACTGATCAGAAGTGTTTACTGTGTGCTTCCTGTTCATAGGTAGTTTGTTGGTACTGCCCTGCACTCCCTCTAGACAGGGGAACATTTTCCGCTGCAGCTTGTAGTATAAAAATGGAGGAAACTATACACAGGGCGTTCTGTGTTACTGTTGCCAGTGTTGTGAGCAGATTAGTCGGTTTTGTTTATGTTTTGTTTTGGGGACACCCCCATGCCCTTTATCGTGGCTCTGTGCTCACTGGTGGGTCTTGGCACTCTACTTGGTGCCAGAGAAATCTCACCTGGGTTGGCCTTGTGCAAGGCAAGTGCCCTGCCCACTGTGCTGTCTCTCGGGTTTCAGATGAGCAGGCTGTGAAGCAGGAATCGGTTTAGACTTAGACCAGGTGCTCAGGGAAGACTTGGGGAGGGGAAGGTCCCGGGTGGGCCTGATGAACAACAGGCAGGATAGAGCCACACCAGACATCAGGTGGAGGCAATAGCCCGGAGAGGAGCTCCACATGGTGGCAGATTGGCCATTTGGCTGCAGCTGTGGAAGGGTGCTTGGGTCAGGGGAGGTGAGGGAGGTGAGCATTATGAGTGATGCAGGGAGGAGGCTGACAGACTCTGTAAAGGGACTGGTGTGTGTATATGTTGGGGGGAGGGGCAGGGAATGGTCCCCTCCATGCTTTGGTCAGTGGATGGTTCTGTGGAAGTTGTGACTTATAAAATGAGTCTCTGTCTCTGGAGTGGAGCATGAACTGAGGTGCCAGTATAGATATATGTGCAGAGGTGTGGACCCTGTTACGTGCACCTCCCAGTCTCTGCCAAGTGGATATCTGGGCTTTTTCTGAGCACTCCAGCGGCAGAAACTTGATGTCCTGACCAGAGTTACTACACTTGTTTAAGTAGAGGAGCATTCTAGAACATTCTTCGAGTGAGCTCAGTCTTGCTTCCCTTGAAGCGCACACTCAGCCTGATTCTGTTCAGTCCCTCTGCTTGGAGCTGATTCCCTCTGCTCAGTTCTCCTGGAGGCAGGAGATGTCATGTCTTGGTCCATTCTCCCTCTGTCACCCAGTTGCCAACTCCAGATGACCTGCCAGTCATCCCTCACTGCTTCCTGGGCCTCCCTCAAACCCCTTCACAGGAGGTAGCTTCTCCCACCTGTGCCCTGATGGCGTCTCCTGCCCTGCCACATCTCAGTTGCTGTGAAGGTGGTTCAGGTCCTTCTTGTCCCTGCTAGTCTCCACACCCTGCCTTTCTCTCTCCAGGCTTTCTCTCCCAACGGCAGCAGAGGGGCCCTCCTGGTTCCAAGCCTGGGCCCTTTATTCCCTGTCTAACCTCTCCCCACTGCCCAGGACAGTGAGTGCTTGCCTCCCCAGCTGCGTCCTTTGCCTGTTCCAGCCCCCAATTCTGCTCTCTGTCCCTTCCTCCCCACTGTTCCGGCTTCGCTGATGAACCTTAGAGCCCCCTAACTCAGGGGTTACTCCTCACTCGACCCTCAGGGATCAAACCAGATCAAAACCTGGTCAGCCACGTGCAAGGCAAGCCCCCTCCCCCGGACTGTCTCTGTGGCCCTACAATCTTTACTGGACCCTCTCTAGCTTCATGACTGGGCATTCATACCGGTGCTGCCTGTGCCTCTTCTTCCTTCCCTTTCAGTCTGACTAACCTTGTGCCACTGGAAGCAATACATACATCCTTTCTCTTTTCTACTTTCCCCCAATATTTCCTGTTCTCTTTGTATTATATTATTGAACCATCACTCCCCAGAATGGGGCCTGTGATTCCGAGGACACCTTCAGTAATGCCTGGATGAATGTGTTACCTTCATTTCCTTAAAGTCTTGTCAGGCTGGAGCCATAGCACAGCAGGTAGGGCGTTTGCCTTGTATGCAACCAACATGGCCGACCCGAGTTCGATTCCTCCACCCCTCTCGGAGAGCCCGGCAAGCTACCGGGAGTATCTCGGCCGCACAGCAAAGCCTGGCAAGTTCCCCGTGACGTATTCGATATGCCAAACACAGTAACAACAAAGTCTCACAATGGAGACATTACTGGGCCCTCTCGAGAAAATCGATGAACAACAGGAGGACAGGGACAGGGAAAGTCTTATCATGTCTTATCACATTCTACCAGCTGACATAGCTTTTCTAGGATGACATTATTTCTGATCCCTTTTGAGTACATGCCTTAATCTATCTCAGAGTGCTAAACCCAAGTTATAATTGTTTCATTTTAACATTTTAGGGGCTGGAGCAATAGCACAGCAGATAGGGCGTTTGCCTTGCACGTGGCTGACCGAGATTCGATTCCCAGCATCCCATATGGTCTCCTAAGCACCGCCAGGAGTAACCCCTGTGCATCACCGGGTGTGACCCAGAAAGTGAAAAAAAAAAAAAAGCAAAAAACCCCAACATTTTATTTATTCCTCTTTGGCTCATACCCTGCAGTGCTCAGGGCTTTCTCTTGCCTCTGGGCTCAGGGATCACTCCTGGCAAGTACCCTACCTGCCCTGTGGTATATCACTACGGCCCCACCCATTAACATTTTTAAATGTTTTTCAAAAAAGATTTTTGGTTAGCTCATCATGATGACTAGACAGATAAAATGTTGAGTAAATTGAGGCACCAAGAAATGTCCACGATACAAATGACTTTTACCATGCCAGGTTGCTAGTCAGATACTGACATAATGAATGAAGTCGACTTTTTCCTCTTTTGCTCTCAAAGTATGAGCTGGTCTCTGTTTTAGGTTGGTTAAACTACACTCACTGTTCCTAGCTATAATTACTGAATTCAAGTCCCACTGCCAAGACAAGACCTTTCCTGAACATTGTGGATTTCTCCAATAAAAGTAGGATGATTAAACTTTCCATTTATCAACTTTTGGTGTTAGGAAGATTGATGAAGCTGTATTAAGGAATCACATTTCGTTTCTTGGATGAAAGGTGTTTTGTAGATGCAATGAATCAAAATGTTATTATTTCAAGTTGTATGACATAATGGAATATCTGTGGCGAAACGTTGCCCGGGCATTGTTTGGTTATTTGTGTTTTTACAATAATTGCAACTATCAAATTGGGAGGCATTGGTGGGAATAAAAGAATCTAAATATTTCCCAGGGAAAAGAGGTTGTATGTATACAAGAGACAGACTCGAGGCTTTGCCTTAGTTTCCTTTAGAATTTAGGGACAATAACTGTACCCCACACCATATTATTTATTGCCACAATTAAATTAGGATAATAATAGCATTTCATGCAGTGATGGTTCCATGGTCATTATTCAATAAATGGTAGCTACTAGTTAAACAGGTCTGATTATAGGCAATTTTTGTTTTGTTATATTTGTTGTTTTGGGGTCACACTTGGTAATGCTCAGGACTTACTCCTGGCAGGTCTCTGGGGACTATATGGGATGCTGGGGATCGAAACTAGCTCAACCACATGCAAGGCAAGCACCTTACCCCTTGTACTATTGATCCAATTCCACAATTGTTTACTCTTGAGTTTAAGTTTCCACTTCACTCCTGTTTTACAGAACTCTTTGTTTTTCTAATTTAATTTAATTTTTATAAAGTAGTTCACAATATTTGATTACATTTAATGTTCAAACACCAATCCCACTACCATTATACCTTCCCATCACCATATATCAGATGTTTCCATCCCGAACCCCAACCGCTGCCCCAAAGCAGAACCAAAATAATTTATTTTGTATTGTTTGTTATGAAAATCCGCTGAGAATGATCCATAAAACTTTCCTTAAAGGAGAGTGTGTGAAGATTGTTGTATTTCACCCAGGGGCCATTAAGCCCTTCTATAAGAGATCACTAACATATTGTTAAAGGTTGAGCTTTATATGCTTATATATTTATATATATGTATATATATTTATCTGTAAAATTATATTTCCCTCTAAGATTGGTTGCCTTCTACTTTTTTTTTTTTTGGCTTTTTGGGTCACACGTGGCGATGCCCAGGGGTTACTCCTGGCTCTGCACTCAGGAATTACCCCTGGCGGTGCTCAGGGGACCATATGGGATGCTGGGAATCGAACCCGGGTTGGCCGCATGCAAGGCAAACGCCCTACCCGCTGTGCTATTGCTCCAACCCTAGGTTGCCTTCTACTTTAAACCCCATCAAATGTGGCGTGCAAATTGGAATATGAGTGGCGCGAAGTAAGATATGTCACATGGCTGCATTTGTGGCTTCATGGTTCAGGAATAGATTCACTCCTGGGTGAGACTCGGCCTGAACATGTGGAGAAAGGCCATGAGCACAGCAGAAGTTGAGATCTGGAGGTTTTTGGCTGCCGGGGCTGGGTCCCTTGGGGCAGGGAGGGGCCTCACCCGCCCCCCTCCAGGGTGCCCTAAATGAAACAGCTTGGCACAGGGTCTGTCTGCATGTCTGTGGTGAGTCATTTTATGCTCTCTTTTGAGAGAAAGACAGTGAGTCTCTGGATCATGGCCATTGATGAAATTATCTCAGTTTTACAGAAGTCTTACCTGCTACTGTAGTGCATATATTCTTAGGTTTGGAGGACTTTATTCTAGGACCCTTGATTCAGGCACGTTTCCTAAATTGGAGGAATGTAACAGTGAGGCCCTATAGTATGAACTTGATCAGAACAGACGTTTAAGAAATATTCAGAAAGAAATATTCAGGTATCTATCACTTTCAACAATACTTAAAACAGTGAGTGCAGTTTCTTGAGGATTGAGATCTTCTGAAATGTAACATATTAATATGTGTGTGTGTGTGTGGGTGCGCGTGCGCACATGACCATCATATAGTAACAGCCAGAACCATGGTCACCCTTTGTATAACACACACACACACCACTTCACTGGATGAGGATGCATGGAATGTGTGAGCAAGGCGATGTCAATGTGGTTGTGTCCTCAGGTAAGGAGAAAGAGCGACACTTAGGGCAGGACCACTAACTTGGGCCCTGGGGGAGAGTTGGTTCTAAAGCAATAGAATTAAGAAGCTGGAACAATAGTACAGCAGGGAGGGTACTTGCCTTGCATGTGGCCGACCTAGGTTCAATCCTCAGCATCTGGTCCCCTGAGCACTGCCAGGACTGATTCCTGAGTGTAAACTAGGGAATACGCCCTGAGCATTGCCAGGTGTGCCCCCCCACAAGAGCCCCCCTACCCCTACCCCTCCAAAAAATGAAAAAGAAGCTTTACCTTTCCAGTAAGAGAACCCATGCAGTACCATTTCATGTGCCAATTTACTAATCAGGTAGCTGAGTATAGGTATTACTCCCCAGGAAGCAAGCAGGTCTTCAGGATCTAACTTTGGCCCCTTCCTTAAATTCATTTGCATAAAGCTGAGGTTCCCAAACTTATTTCAGGAAAAAAGACTGCTCAGCTGCCTGCAGGAAATCTGTCTTCTTCAAACGAACAAATAAAGCAGCCCTCCTTTGCGCCCATGCCACTTCTTGCCACGGGGTCTCCTCTGTACCCCCTGCAGTGGTTTTGCCCCCTTTGGAGAAAACTGGCATAAAAATTTACAATGTCAGATGTGTCCAGAAAGCATTTATTATATTCCTTAAATAATTCTGGGAGCTGCATCATGGACTTAGAGAAAAGGAAAGAGGAGGCAGCTGAAATTTATTTACCACAGTATAGGGCTTTAGTTTACAAACCATATGGGGGTTTAGTTGTGAAAATATTCGGTGGTATTTACTTTTCTTGACTGCAGTATAAAGTTTCCATGCCCCCCCCCCCACACACACGCTATAGAAAGGGGAAATGAAAAGTTTTAACAGGATATGTGACTTCTCCCAGACATGTGACCAGTGAGTCTCAGGGTTTATTTCTACTAAGCATTTGCATCCTGGAAATTAAATTGTAAGTTGGAGGGGGGTGGGGGGCGGGGGGCTCTCGGGCAGCTTTAGGGCTCCACTGGTGCTTCTGAGCTGACCTACCAGCTGTGGATTCATACAGGGGCCTGAGCATTCAGGACTACTTGGCACCACATGATGCTAGGGACTGAGCCCAGTTCTGGTGCGTGCTAGGCCTATGTAGCCGCTGTTCTATCTCCTGGCCTAGGAATTAGGGAGAGAATCGGGCTCAGACTGTCCATTTTATCTTTTCCGGCTCTGTGACAGTTGAACAGTCAGTGTTCCGTGCTTTGTCTAAGCAGATGACAGAGTGGACACGGGAGAGTCACTCAGGGGCACCCAAAGGCTGCCCAACAAATAGCCCAGAAAGCATCTCTTAAGTGCTCCATAAAGCAGTCTCACTGCATTTGGACTCTGGGCTTCTTTATTGCTGTGCCTTGCCAGTGGCCCTCAGCCTCTTGATTAATACCTTTGTCATATGGCCAGTTATATTTGGAACAGGAAGATACGGGACAAAGATTACAAAGTGTATAGAGTCCACATCTACACCTGAAGTAAAAGTGTATTCTCATCTGCGGTTTTCAGTACTATTCAAAGGTGTCAGTGATGTTACCACTAAAAATTATGTCTTTCCTTTGTAGCTTAAAGAAGTCTTCTGCTGAGCTGAAAAAAATATTAGCCAATGGCCAGGTAAGGTGGCATTCCATATTAAGATTCTCACCTGACGACTGCCCAGTGTCTATACCCACAAACCTAACAAACCGAGCCCATGAATTTCTTCCTGTCATAAGTGAATTACATGGCTTAATTTGATTGGCAGAACAATTTGTAGCACGTTTTTCAAACTGTGCTAATGGATTTCACTCCCAGCAGATTGGAGTACCACATACATACCCTGCCGTCTTCTCAGCTGAAAAAAAGTTAATCAATTCCGAACAAGTGTGTCAACCCATGTGTGGGGGAAATGACCCCGTACCCTGCCGTGGCTGTTTCTTTCATTATCTTTGGGGAGAGAAGGAAAAAAACGGCGGTTTTCTGACTGCAGCTCCTTCCTTCGTTCTACCGTCCACACTGGCTCTTTAGGGGAACTGAGGAACAGCAGACCTCCGGCGTTTGAAATTCCTGGGCATCTTAGCCACCCCGGGGTCGAAAGTTGAATGACGGAAGCCAGCCGGTGAGGGATGGATGGGCCCGAGGGCCAGTTATTTCTCACTAATTTTGATCCAAGTAAATGGTCACATCTGAAATAGTATAGAGCATTTAAGCACGCGCTGGTAAATTAAGCCACCGACGGGGTCCTGGATCCTTCAATAGCAACATAAATGTGCTCTAATGTTTGTGATAGAGGAAGCGCCGCGATAGCCTCCAAGGCAGGCGCCTGTCCGTTGCGATCAAGCCTGCCTATTAGGCTCTATTGACTGAGGCATCTGTGTCACTGCAAATAAAAGACTCTTATTGATTTTCTTAACTGCTGTTCACTTCCCGTCCCTGTTTCGAAGGCTGAAATCTTAATTATCTCAGATGCTTATTCAGGGCCTTCACACGCTGACCTCTCCAAGCCTCATTGGCGTTGCATGAGTCAAGTATTTGTCGTGGAGCCTGTCAGGAAGACAAAGCTGGTCCTCATGCTTGTCCTTTAATATCACCTGTAACTGTGTGGCCTCAGAGCTGTGGAGTGGCCGAATGGGGGACTTCTGTTTCTCGAAACCTCATTTAGCACACGGTGCCTTGAACACAGGTGGAAAATTTTTGTAAGTGTACCAGGCTGACATCTCATCCAGGGTGCGTGGCTTCTCGCCCTTAATATTCCTTCTTGGGCCAGCAAGAATCTGGTGTTGTATGTATATTCATGATGGTCTGAAAATCTTAGGCCATATTTATTAAATCCTTCGAACTTGAATCCCTCAAAGATTTGTTCAGATTGAGGTCCACATATCCCCCACCCTGAAGTCTCTGCATTTGCTCAGAACCAGTGTGAAACAAAACTTGGCCCCGAAAGCAGAAATATTGAGCCTGGAATATTTATATCTCTTTAAACATGCTTGTTTTCTAGTTACTAATTGTAATTTATGTCTAAGTCACTTGTGTACCTCAGCTGGAAAAATATATATCAAAATTGACATAAATTAAGAAGCTTTAACTACATTTTTTCAACCCAGGCAATGGAAAATAACCTGTCATAGATTTCTCTTTCAAAAATGAAAAACGGTTTATTTCTACTGCAAAAAAACACAAACAAGAAGAAGAAGAGAGTGTTCTGAAATGTTACTAATGTTTCACAGTACACCTAGTGCCATAAATATCCCAGCAGTCTGAGATGGAAGGCTCTCTCCAGTGGAAGATTGTCATGGTAAAGATTTTTGACACTTAAAGAGTATTTATTGCTTCCCTCTTGGGATTGTGATTCCCCTGCCCCAGTAAAGAGCAGAGCGTTTTCTTCCTCTCCAGGACCAGCCTCTATACATTCCTTACTCTTAGTCACAAAACAGACAAAAGAGAACAAAAACCTCCACCTTTTGACGTCTGCAGAATACCATCTGCTACTAATCCCTCAGTTCCATGGTGCCACAGAGTGACCCAAGAGTGCGTGGGATTGCGTTACAGTGAGGGGATGCACGTGGGGTGGGCCACAGCCCCTTGCAGGGCTGAATACCGACCCCATCTGATATGGAAGATGTAAGTCACATTTAACGATACTTTAACTCTTGAGCGTAGTTTTTTATTTCAGTGGTTTATGCTCTCAAGCATTAATAATGATCTGCCTTTCCACTCGCCTCCACTTAGATTTAATAAGGAATTCATATTAATCATTAAAAGAAAGGGACATGATTCTTCAAGATAATCAAATATTGACAGGTTAGAAATAGCTTTCTGCCTGGGTTCATTGATATAGGTTATGTGATATAAATATTTATTTCTTTTCTGTCACTCAGAGTAAATGCCACCAATTGATTCAGCATTGATATAGTGTCAACAGTTCATAAGAAACATTTGACGGGCTTGTGTTTCCCGATTAGTCTCTGCTCTATAAAGTGGGATTTACTAAATCTCTCCAATTGTCTGCTCATCGAGTGTGACGCTCTCTGAAACCATTATTGCTTCGATTTGTGAAGCGAAGGTTCTAGTGCTGCGACTCGCCTCTGTCAGACCTTTACATAGAAAATAAGGATTAATTGAGCATTTTTATTTTAATGATTTGGAAGCAATAGGTACTGATACTCCTTAACACAGGGAGACAATAAGCAAAGCATATGTTCTTTGCTGATCCATAATTGAATTCCATCTCATTTTGTCATTAATTCCATTAATGTTATATTATTATATTAAGATATATTAAATCAGGCATTTAAAAAAAGTTTAATAGTTAGTCTTCAAAATGGAGAAATTGTTTTCCTGTTTTTTGTCACTTTATAGTAGAGAAATCCTTTTTCTCTGGTTTGAAAACACCCACATCAAAAGAGATTTTTGACATGTTTTATTGAGAACTGTAACTCAGTACCACTGATGTATTATCTGAATGTCTTCTTCCTACTTCAGTCTGAGTGCAGTATCTACTCTTAAATATTGGTCGTTGATTTGAAACGGATTAGAAATGGCCCAGTGGGTTGATCCAGTGGGATTAAAAATATTTGCAGGTATTCCCAGAACCTATGGCTTTCACCTCTGCCATGATGAGGTCATTTTCCCACTTCTTATTTTTTTAGATGTTGTGGAGAGGGTGGTATTATTTCTTGTTCCTAAAAATTCAAGCATAAATGTAACACCATATATGATGCTCCTGTTTTCATTGTTATTTCGAGAACTTCAAATGCCCTTGAGAGACCATTCTGTGTGTAGAAAAAAAAATGGTAAACTCAGGGTGAGGAGGAGTGGGGACAGACATCTGCTCATTTTGACACAAAAAGATCAAACCTGGTCCTCATGCTTTATCTTTTAATAGTACCTGTGACTTTGTGTCCCGGCCACCTTACACAGTGACTGTGTGGCAGTAGTCCCAGAAGGCTTACACATCTGATACAAAATCCTGCGAGCATGGTTTTGGAGAGTAAGATTTCTATAATCCCCACATATGAAGCCTTCAGATTTTCCTGCTTATCTTAGCTCTCAGAAGTGAGGGTGTGTGTGTGTGTGTGTGTGTGTGTGTGTGTGTGTGTGTCTGTGTGTGTGTGTGTGTGTGTGTGTCTGTGTTTGTGTCTGAGCCTAGTGCCCACCACTATCCCCACGGACCCAGCCTTGCTATACTATAATCATACTGTATTTCCTCTCCGACACCAGCAGAACCCCATGCCAAGCCTTCTCCACATCAGGTGTGACAACTGTCTTGGCAGTTGTCACTGGGATGATTCCTCATCCCTTGTAGCTCTTGTGCTTTTAAGCCCAACCAAGGAAACTGGGCCGTCTATATCAATCTTTTGATGTCTTTATTCAGTAAAAGCTTTATTTCACCTCTTTCATCTAAAGAGTGGTATGATTTTTTTAAAGCCTATCTTTTCTTAAAAGCACTGGGGAGCGAGAGAGACAGGACAGTGAGAAGGTGTTTGTCTTGCACGTGGCTGACCCAGGTTCAGTCTCGCAACCCGTATGGTCCCCCCACCCATGCCAGGAGTGATCCCAGAGCACAGTTAGGTATAGCCCCCAAAAAACCGAAAGAAAAAGAAATAAAGAATAAAGAGCACCATCATGTATGCTTTGAGCTGTGAGTGTGCTTCAGGCTTTAGTTGGTTGTTTTCCTTCCTGTGGCCAGAGGCCATGGATGAGGTTTTGTTCTTCCCTTACTTATACTTGCGATCAGCTGCTAAGATCTTATGGGGAGCAGATGCCCAGGAGAGGACGGAGCTCTGGTCTGTCTTCACTGTTGTTACCTACCAGTTATTGGGGTCTGTGACTTGGTTTTAAGTGGTATTAAAATGCTCTAACTTTTTAAAAAAATTTTATTGAATCACTGTGAGATAGTTACAAGCTTTCATGTTTGGGTTACAATCACACAATGATCAAACACCCATCCCTCCACCAGTGCACATTCCCCACCACCGGTATCCCCGGTATACCCCCCCCTTTCCCGCCCTCCCCCTGCCTCCATGGCAGACAGGATTCCCCATAATCTCTCTCTACTTTGGGGCATTATGATTTGCAGTACAGACCCTGAGAGGTTATCATGTTTGCTCCTTAATCTACTTTCTGCACACATCTCCCATCCTGACCAATTCTTCCAGCCATTATTTTCTTAGTGATCCCTTCTCTATTCCAGCTGCCTTCTCCCCTTTGCTCATGAGGCAGGCTTCCAGCTATGGAGCAGTCTACCTGTCCCATATATCTACTAGCCTTAGGTGTCAGCCTCATGTTATGTTGTTTTATACTCCACAAATGAGTACAGTTCTTCTATGTCTTTCCATCTCTTTCTGACTCATTTCACTTAGCATGATACTCTCCATGTCTATCCATTTATAAGCAAAGTTCATGACTTCATCTCTCCTGACAGCTCCATAGTATTCCATTGTGTAGCTGTACCAAAGTTTCTTTAACCAGTCATCTGTTCTAGGTCACTTGGGTTGTTTCCAGATTTTGAAAATGCTCTAAATTCTATGACTTTTATGACAGTTGATCTCAGCTACTACATCCAGATGTCTCTGGTAGGCTTACAAATCCCACTTCTCTGTAATCTGTTTTGGTTTGGGGCTACTCCCACCTCGGTCATCAGGAGTCATTCCCAGCAGGGCTTTGGGGACCGTGTGGTGCCAGGGATTGAACCTGGGCCTCCCTTATGCAGAACTGGTGTTCCAACTTCTGGCATTTTCTCTCTGACTCCAAATCCCACTTTTGAATCATCATAATACTGGCTCTTGTGCTTCATTTTGAAAAGTGAAGTCAATATGCTCACCTGAACTAATAAAGGCAAATATCTTATTAACTGCTAGTTGATAAGATTTCATGAAGTTTTTCATGCTTAAAATCAGTTAAGGATATGAAACAGTTTAAGTATTTATAACCAACTCATGAGCTTGGCTCTAATAATTTTACTTTGTGGAAGTATTTTTTATATCTATTTGTATACTATATAAAAATTAGAACAGCCAAATAAACAAAGATAATATTTCATAAAAACTGTTGATTCCTATACCAGGCAAAGGTCTATATTGTAGTAAACTGAATACAGGTTTTGTGTGTGAGTGTGTGTGTGTGTGTGTGTGTGTGTGTGTTTAAATCATGTTTCTAGAACTCATTCAAAACCATTTTTGTCTTTTGTCTTATAATCTTACTCCTAAAGTAATGGATTCCAGATTTCTCTCCTTGGACTGGTAATGCAGTATTCAGCATGCACCCAGGGGCTCACGCTCTCCCCCTTCCCTCCCACCTTCCCCTCTCTCTGTACCCCCATCCCTCCCAGGTCTCTCAGTCTGCTTAGATGCACCACCCTCCTGACGGCACTGGGATGATACTGGTTGATGTTATTAAGAGACATTCCACAGGGTCCCCTCTTTTCTCTTCTCCTACTGTCTCCCATCTTCTTCCTCCAGTAAGATAATATAAAAGCACCCTCCCTCCCAAATGCCTGGATTATCCCAGTGTATTACTGAGATGTTGTGGGGTGTAGGGCCTTTTCGTCTTTTTTTTTTTTAGCTACAAGACCCAGATAGAGAATTCAAAGTGGAGGTAGAAGGGAGACGATCATAGATTACACTTATGGAATATAGATACTGTCGTCCTGCCTTTCCTTCAGTCTAGTGCCACTGAATTCAGAATAATCCTGAACTTGACCCAGGGACATTTCTTTCTCCTAGATATCGACTTTAAGCCATGATGAGGGTGCATGTTGTCAGACAAGTTGATGGTCCAAATTAGATTCTTCGAGTCTTGTTTAGACTACCTGGAGAAATGTTTGATAGGAATTGGCCCACCAACAATCTGTCCCGCCAATAGATACAGCTGTGTATGTGTGTATCCTTCATCCTCTCTGATCAAGTGACCCTTGCAGCAGTTTTGCTAATTTAGCACCCCCAGTCAGTCTGTGTATTCTCCGTGTCCTGCTCTCTCTTTTTCTCTCTCTCTTCCTCTCTCTCTCTCTCTTTTTGCTTTTTGCTTTGGGCTGGAGCAATAACACAGTATCACTGTGGTAGGTTGTTTCGTTTACCTTGCACGTGGCCAACCTGGGTTCCATTTCTTTGTCCTTCTCGAAGAGCCCGGCAAGCTACCGCGAGTATCCCACCCGCAAGGCAGAGCCTGGCAAGCTCCCTGTGGCGTATTCGATATGCCAAAAACAGTAACAACAAATCTCACAATGGAGACATTACCGGTGCCCGCGCGAGCAAATCGATGGACAGCGGGACAGCAGTGCTTTTTGGGTCACACCCAGCGATGCTCCAGGGTAACTCCTGGCTCTGCACTCAGGAATTATCCCTGGCGGTGCTCGGGGGACCATATGGGATGCTGGGAATTGAACCCAGGTAGGCCGCATGCAAGGCAAACGCCCTACCTGCTGTGCTATTGGTCCAGCCCCAGTGTCCTACTCTTTTAAAACTTATCATTGGTCCCAAATGATAAAATTTTCTGTTTTTCTTCATGCCTTAATTCTTATACAGTTTTTTTGTTTTACCGTTATAAGTAATATAAATGTAAAGAACAGAATTTCTCTGATGCAGGAAAATTGTTGCCAATTTTTCTGGATTATCTGTCATTTATTCTCTGACCTTAAATATAGTAATTAGCTGATTGCAAATTGCATCAATCAGGTTGTACCACAATTAAATCGGGTCCTGAACTGGCCTTTGCACATTAATCTGTCAATATTCTTTTAGGGATTGGCCAAACAGCTTGGAAAGGAAGCTGTTTCTGCTGCCTGTCCTGCACTTCTAATTATCACTGCTTTCTGAAACGTCAACCTCAGGAATATACAGAAGAAACATATTTCCCTTGATAAATGAAACCTTGCTTTATTCAATTGGGGGAAGTTTAGAGCAGAGCAAAAATATTTAAAGCTTTACAATAATAGTCTGAAAGCAAACTATTTTTTTTTCCAGGTGATATTGAATTAAAAACTCCATCTATTTTCTGCCCATGCAAGGCAGTGCAATTCTCTGGAAATTGATTTTTTTTTAGGGCTTACTATGGCTTTTCCCAAGCCTAAGCTATATGGAAAATAACACCATTATTGAATCCACTTAGTGGATAAAGTTGGCAGTTAATTTTTAAACAACTGGACCAGTGGATAGAAAATTATTGAATGCATCAAATATAATTTGACTAGTCTTAAATTAAGTCACTTGGTAAATAATTATTTAGGCAGTTCTTAAAGATTCTAAAATATTATTTTGTGGGTATTAAAATAATTCACTACTACAGTTTGTGATACAAATGAAAGTAATATTTGTGCTATAATAGTTTTAAGAAACTGGGCAATTGTACTTGCTGTTTTATGTATTCGGTTATGAAAATAACATTAATTTCTAAGAATTGCATGCTTATATGTTCTTCCTAGTTGTGTTAGAATATTTGACTATATGTGCATCATAAACTGCATTGATATGGCACTTTTCCCAGCAGAACAGTATAATTTTTTTTCCATTTTTACTGCTTACAGTTTACCATTTCCAAAGAAAAGCTGTATCTGTTCTCGGGAAATCATTAACATTATTTAGTTTGTTTAATGTTAATTATAGGGTCACCTGAAGAGTTTTCAGAGGCTTGATTTATTTACAGATTGCAAATCAGATGTGTGTGTGTGTGTATGTGTGTGTGTGTGTGTGTGTGTGTCTTCTCCCAAGTTCGACTTTGCCTGTGTGCAGTGCAATTTGATGCTGGGTTATATGTGGTCCTGGAGACCACGTTCTTATCAGTATCTCTGACCTGACCTTTTTGAGCTATGTTAGATCATTCCGTTTTGACACCTTTTATCAAACTTTAATGAAATGACCCAGGCAAACAAATTGTCATTAAACTTTCCATCACTTTGTCCCTTGGTATCGTCTTTTATAAATTGGACAGCAAATGTTGTATTGATCTTCTCGTTCTTGCAGCTGAACTTGAAATGACCCAGACCGCTTGTTGTTTATGGCCTAGACTTGCTTTTCCTTGACACTTCCATCCACGGCATGACACTCTTTTGTTTTTCTTTCTTTCTCGTGGAGATGAATGAACAAGACATGCGGTACCGGGACACACTTGGCCATGGCAACGGAGGCACGGTCTACAAGTGAGTAGTTAATCTTGTTTCAACTTTCTGTCCACTTTTGCCAAATGTGGGGATCATCAGTTCTCAGCAGCAAATATTTTTGAAGGACCACCAGCATTTAGATTTTATTTCTACACTTGATTCCAGAATTCTGCAGGACATCTATTTTCTCAGGAATTGCTTGGAAAAGTGCATTTATATTACCTTTTTAATATTTCGGAGTCTGCATCTCTCCTGGGTAAGCAGTTAATAGTCCACCATTAGCAAGTGTACCTTTAACTGGCCTGAAGTTTAATGCATTTTTCCCCCTCTCCTCTATAACACCATTATTTTTCCCCCCAACTTGCTCGCACCCTAGCCTTGTCCCCTGCCTGGTTGACAGCAATGCCCATGGAAGACAGACCTTATAAATACTATTGCTTAGCCCTGCGTCGACACTCTAAGTTATTAAAAAGCCTTCTTCCTGTTGTACCTTCTCTCCTCACCTACTCCCCTGAGAGAATTTCTACACATTGATGAATATGTTAAGTTATAAAATTCTCCCAAATTCTAGCTGCAATGATCTTCCCCTAAAGCGGTGTTCATTTTCATATTAAAAAATGCTAACCATAAAAAATAGTTCTCTCAACAGGGAAGTCTTTCTCATGCAGTAGTGCAAAGTTTAAACTACATAATGTAATATCTGGTACTTAATAGTCTGCAATGGTGTATGAAAAATATTCTACTAGGAATTAAAAAATCCATACTCGGTCAGAGAGCCCCGAGGGGGTAATAAAACCTTCCTTTGCGAGCTGCTTTCCATATATACACCAAACCTGCATCATGGTCTCTTCTTACCTTAGATATTTTCACATTGATTTTAATAGATACTTCCAGAGTTGTAAAATCATTTTGTTTCTAATTGGTTACTAATGTTCTTCAAATTTTAAATTCTTCCTTACTGCATGGATACAGATTTAAAAAAAAAAAAAACAGCCATGTTGTCCACAGAGGGTCATGTCCTACAATTCCAGGACATCCTCCATATGTAGGTGCATCTTGGGCAGTAGGCTTGGTGTCCTAGGATGGGAAGCCCCGTAGAAGTCTTCTGATTTGGTTCCCCCAGACGGGACTTCACTACCTTGGGCAGGTAGAGGGAGGATGTGAGCCCTTTTGCTTTTAAGAACTTATATGCACACTTGGATTATTTTTACTGACAGATGACGAACCATTGTGGATAGTCTGAAAGTTAGGTGTCTGACTTCACTCTGGTAATTCAGAGAATAGAGTAATAACATACAGGCCCTGCCCCAAGGTTGTTTGTTTCATGTGTCTGGGTGCGAGGTTCAGATCACGCCTTCACTCCTCCCTGCAAAGTCCCGCTGCCCTGTTTAAGCTGCTCCTTTCATCATAGCTATCACTTTGCCTCCTCAGCTTTGGCTTAAATTGTTACCTGGCTCTGACGCTCTTGGGTCCAGGTACCCTAAGGAAGGAAAGAAGGAACATGAATTCTCACTTGCTTCTCTTGCACTTGTAGGCTGGAACAGTTTTCAAAATTTCTTTTTTTAACACATTTATGCTAGTAAAGATAATAAAGCAGGAAAGACTTCTAGAACTGTTTAGACCACACCCCCCCCCCCCTTTTTGGTCTTCAAGTGAAATCCTGAAACTTTTTTTCAGTTGCCTACTCATCTTTATGCAATAGCACTATTTGTTTAACTCTATAGAAGGCTTAGGGTTTTGTTCTGTTTTTGATAATTGAGGGCTCAGTGAGAATTTACTGTTCTGCTTTATTGTAGGAAGGAGAAACCATTAGACCATCAACTCCAGTAGATAATTTTTTTCTCTACCTTTTCTTTTGTTTTTGGGTCACACTTGGTGGTGTTTAGGGTTTACTCCTGGCTCTGTGCTCAAGGATCACTCCTTGCAGTGCTACGGGGGCTATATGGCATCCCTGGTTTCAAACCCTTTGTTGGATTCATGCAAGGCAAGTGCTGTACCTTCTATACTATTTCTCCAGCCCCAGTAGATAATTTTTATTAGAAATAATATGCTAGTTGTTAAAATTGTAATGTTTTGTCTGAAAACATGAGTTTGTAAAAATGGGGAGAGAACTCAGGAATTGAAAAATATTGATCCACCAAGGAAAATTGCAACATAAAGTTATAACAATGTTCTTTTTGTTATTTTTAATTGTGATGAAATAACAGCTTCATAAGCATATTTAAATGTTCTGGCATTAAGCACATTCACATTGTTCTACAAATATAAATAGCACTTTACATCTTACGGATCTGACACACTGTACCTATAAAACAGTAACTCTTTGTTTAGGTGATAGTGTTTTTATTTTTATTTAATTAAAAAAATTGGTTTGGTGGCCACACCTGGTGCTGCTCAGGGCTTGCTCCTGGCTCTTGCACCGAGGGATCACTCCTGGTGTACTTAGGGGACCATATTGGGTGCCAGGGATTGAATCTGAGTTGTCCACATACAAGGCAAGTGCCCAACCTACTTCACTATTGCCCTGGCCTCCAGTTATCTTCTTATTTACAAAGCTGAAGATAACAATTTCAGGTATTCAGCAATTCAGTGTTTCAACTCTAGAACCCACCACCAGTTTTCACATCCCCCCACCAGTGACCCTCAATTCCCTCCCTCTTCCCTTGGTGAATTCTTGGAAGAAGACGGTGAAGACACCCAATTTTCATAACCACTTGTTATTGATCATTTGGCCTTCATTCCTGCCTGGGCTTTTGTTTATACTGTTATAACATCTATGGCTTTTAGTTCAGCATGAAGAAATGGGATAATCTTCAAGAAATGAGATTCTACTTTGCTAAAGTCTTTATAAAACTAAGCATTTGATGTCTGATGATTGACTTTCTCCTACACTAAGTTTACCTTAATGGTGTTAGCTATAAAAATTGTGAATTTTCACAAACAAAATGATTATATTACAGGCTATGCTACATAAACTAGATGAAGAAAATATTGGAAAATTCGCTCATTGGTAACAAAAGTGCCTAGTGGGCCTATTTAAGTTTTTTCTTACAGGGTGTAATAAAGCTAATAAATGCAAAGCGAAAGTTTGATATTTCAGTCTTGTTTGTTCTAACTTGATGGGGTCCTATGAGTTTCATGGGCTATGCCCGCATATGTAATACAATATATAGTATTTAATAGCTGCACACATGCTCTCCTAAGATTGGGTGTTCAGGCCAGTGATATAGTATAAAAACTTCACCAGATCTTAGTGAAGATTCTCTGAGTTCTCTGAGCTGTTCTTGATGTTTTAATAGTGACATCCGCTGGTAGTATGAAGCTGGTAGTTTTTAGTTTACCAAGTTGGGTGAAGTAAAGAAAATATTTTTGGTTAAATTATATCAGAGATTTTCAGCAACCCTTGGAGAGATTTTTGATGAATTCAGAGGCTCTGAAACAGTAGAGAGTTGTCTGTGATGTGGTTAAGTGCGAGAGGGTTCCAAGTTTGAAGTCAAAATAGAGATAATATTAATAAAATCATAGTGATATCTGTCTTAACATTGTTGTGAGGTTAAAGATATGTTTGAGCACTATGAATGAACACTAACTTGAAGCTGCTTGTAATCAGTAAGAGTAATAGGAACAATAATCATTAAGCCCTGTACTTCCTGGATATGAAATTCTTTTTTCAGGAGCATCTCTAAACTTCTCAAGGACTTATGATTGTGATAAATAAACATCAAGAAACCCTGCATTATGTGCTGGAGCCATAGTACAGCAAGTAGGGCACTTACCTTGTGGGCGGCAGACCTGGGTTCGATCCCTAGAACCCCATGCGGTCCCCTGAGCCTGCTAGGAGTGATCCCTGAGCACAGAGCCGGAAGTAAGCCCAGAGCAGTGCTAGTAGTGACCGCCAACCCACCCCCCTCCAAAAAAAAATCCTGCATTATTTATTATTAATACTATCTTTTTGTTTCTGAGCTTTTGGGGACCATGTCAGCAGTGCTCTGAGACTGTTCTTGATCCTGGTGGTACTGGCAGTAACAAGGTGTGGTGCTGGGGATTTGAACCTGGGTGGCAGCCACTTCCCACAAGCAAGAAAAGTGCCCTGGGCTACCTCTGTTCTATACTATCTCTCCAGCCCCTGTAATTTTTTTTTATTGTTCATTTTTTGGGTTTTGGGTCACACCCAGCAATGCTTAGGGGTTACTCCTGGCTCTGTGCTCAGGAATCATATCTGGTGGTTCTTGGGGGACTATAAGGGATGTCAGGTATTGAACCTGGGTTGGCTGCATATAAGGAAAGCTGAGCCCCTCTCCCCCATAATGATTTTTTATTATATCTTCTGTTATTGTTTATTTTTCTATTCTCTAGCTATCGCGCAGACGCAATTGATTTTTTTTTGGGGGGGTCTCACTCGGTGATACACAGAGGTTACTTCTGGCTCTGCACTCAGGAATTACTCCTGGCGGTGCTCAGATGCTCAGGGGACCATACGGGATGCTGGGAATTGAACCCGGGTTGGCCATGTGCAAGGCAAACGCCCTACCCGCTGTGCTATCACTCCAGCCCCAATTGATTCTATCTTAAATATTGTATTACCTATAATAATTTTGTGAAGTTGCATAGCGTCTTCTCTTTTTTCATAGTTGATTTGTATATGCTCTAGGTGAACCCGTATCATTTTAAGCCAGGTTGCCACTGGAAAAAGCGAACGCTCTTTATCATGTGATCATCAGCTGAGCCTGAATCTGCTTCAGCACTTCTTCCTTAAACTCACTTTCCCCCAGGCACTGTTGTTTCTCAAGGTCAAGCAGAGCCCATTGTGTTTTCTGTGGACCCAGCGCAGTCCAAAGGATGCAGTAGGTGGACGGAAATGGGAACAAGGCAAGAGAAGGTTTTTCCAACAGGCTTTTCCATTCTTTAATTTAACTCTTTAATTAGGTCCTCCAGAGCAACGATGCATTGCTATTTTAGAGCGTGCATGATTTAGAGGCTGTATCATTGTTTTATAATCTTCACCTAAAAAGAAGAGAAATTTCCAAACCCAGGGTTTC